TTGGGCTTGGTTTGGTGAGGGTGTCGTGGCACAACACCCCCAGCGCGTCCTGCTGATGGAGCGTGAGGAGCTTAGGCCTGGCCTGGGGACACACAAGGACTGGCTTAAACCCTCTTTGCTTTGATAGGGGACAGATGTGGCCTGGGTGTGGCTCAGGAGGAGCTGCAGGTGTGCCCTGGAGAACGGGGCTGGGATGTGACCGGGAGCTGGGAATGTTGAGGAGCATCGTGGGTGGGCTGGAGCACCCCGTTCCAGATGGAGCACCTTGTTCCAGAGGGACCATCCTGCTCCAAATGGACCATCCTGCTCCAGAGGGATTCCAGATGGAGCACTTTGTTCCATAGGGCCAATCCTGCTCCAGAGGGACTATCTTGCTCTGGAGGGATCATCTTGCTCCAGATGGGTCATCCTTCTCCATAGGGACCATCCTTCTCCAGAGGGACCATCCTGCTCCAGATGGATCATTCTGCTCCAGAGGAACCATCCTTCTCCATAGGGACCATGCTGCTCCAGAAGGACCATCCTGCTCCAGAGGGACCATCCTGCTCCAAAGGGACCATTCTGCTCCAGATGAACCATCCTGCTCCAAAGGGACCATCCTAATGGACCATCCTGCTCCAGAGGGACCATCCTGCTCCATAGGGCCAATCCTGCTCCAGAGGGACTATCTTGCTCTGGAGGGATCATCTTGCTCCAGACGGACCATCCTGCTCCAGAAGGGCCGTCCTGTTCCAGAGAGAACATCCTGCTCCAGAGGGACCATCCTGCTCCAAATGGATCATCCTGCTCCAGAGGGACCATCCTGCTCCAGAGGGGCCAATCCTGCTCCAGAGGGACCATCCTGCTCCAGAGGGACCATCCTGCTCCAGAGGGGCCATCCTGCTCCAAATGGATCATCCTGCTCCAAATGGATCATCCTGCTCCAAAGGGACCATTCTGCTCCAGATGAACCATCCTGCTCCAAAGGGACCATCCTGCTCCAAAGGGACCATCCTGCTCCAGATGAACCATCCTACTCCATAGGGACCATCCTGCTCCAGATGGATCATTCTGCTCCAGAGGGACCATCCTGCTCTGTCTGGATCACCCACCCTACCCCTGACCAAACCCCCGCAGCTCCTGGACCACAGCAAACCCATGGTTAAGTCCAGCAGGTGGGAATGGCTCCTCTGGAGAGCTCTGGCTCGGCCATCCCGGCCGGCTGCAGTCCCACGGTGGGTTTGGCTGGCTGGGCCTTACTGCAGCTCCGAGGCCACGGGGCACTCCCCACCCCATTCCAGATGGAGCACTTTGTTCCAGAGGGACAATCCTGCTCCAGAGGGACTATCCTGCTCTGGAGGGATCATCTTGCTCCAGATGGGTCATCCTTCTCCATAGGGACCATCCTTCTCCAGAGGGACCATCCTGCTCCAGATGGATCATTCTGCTCCAGAGGAACCATCCTTCTCCATAGGGACCATGCTGCTCCAGAAGGACCATCCTGCTACAGAGGGACCATCCTGCTCCAAAGGGACCATTCTGCTCCAGATGAACCATCCTGCTCCAAAGGGACCATCCTGCTCCAGAAGGGCCATCCTGCTCCAGATGGATCATTCTGCTCCAGAGGGGCCATCCTGCTCCAGATGAACCATCCTACTCCATAGGGACCATCCTGCTCCAGATGGATCATTCTGCTCCAGAGGGACCATCCTGCTCTGTCTGGATCACCCACCCTACCCCTGACCAGACCCCGAGGGCCAAACCCCCGCAGCTCCTGGACCACAGCAAACCCATGGTTAAGTCCAGCAGGTGGGAATGGCTCCTCTGGAGAGCTCTGGCTCGGCCATCCCGGCCGGCTGCAGTCCCACGGTGGGTTTGGCTGGCTGGGCCTTACTGCAGCTCCGAGGCCACGGGGCACTCCCAGATCCCACGGATTGGTAGGGTGAGGAAATTTCCCCTTTGGCTTTGTGGGTTTAATTCCCGATTCAGTTCCTGGGTTTAAGGCTGTTTCCAAGGATTCCCAAGCAGTTCTGGGAATGCGGGAGCTCCTGGATTTTGGCTGCTTTAAAATCTGTTCATTGGGCAGGGAGTGCTCATCATTCCAGAGTCCAGTGGGAACGGAGCAGCCTGGATGCAAGGAACCTGTGTGGATCCTGCTTTCCCAGCCAGGGCTCTCTGTGTCCTTCCTGCTCTCCTGAGGAGCAGGAGCAGCTCCTCTCCTTTCCATCTGCTGGCCCAAGGCCACCCATCAGATCCTGGCCACGGGATCAGCTCCTGGGAGCAGCGGGAAGGACAAGCCTGGCTCCTGGGAAGGGCAGGGAGGGTTTTCCTGCATGGAGAGTGAGGGAGAGGGGCTGGAGCTCAGGAGACCAAATAATTCCATGGACAGCTGGAGTTTGGAGGCGTGAGGAGCACCAGGGGTTCTCTGTCTGAGCCTTACAGAGTCTTCTTGCCTAAGAAAAATCAGCGGTTGTTACTATTTTGGATTATTATTTCTCTTCCTTTTATTGGAAGGACAATGCCAAAGCAGAAATCTTTGCACAAGTTTAGGCTCAGAGCACTGACAGTGTACCATGAAATGCTTGAAATCCTTGGAATTACCTCTGGAAAATGGATCTTTGGCAATGTTAGGGAAAAACCCCTTAAGGAATTTGTGCCTGAAGAGCATCATAAACCCCAGTGAAGCCACCTGGATGCAGATTTGGGATTGGAATTGTGCATAATAAAATTCCCATCGACGAGCTGACGGAACGAGCTGTTTGGAGTTTGTGCTGGCAGCTGGGTTTATTTATATAAAATATAAACCAGAAAATAGAATCTATAAATACATAAAATAGAATCTATGAAATAGAATCTATTTTATATATGTATATATAATAGAATAGAATAGAAATATATAAACATATATTATATAAATATATCTTTATATCTCTATACTTCTATATTTATATGTTTTATATTTAATAAATGAAATTAAATAAAAATCTACTATATTTATATATTAAATGTATATATATATTTATATATTAAATGTATATATATATATACATTCTATATTCCATATATAATATAATATGAAAATAGAATCTATAAATACATAAAATAGAATCTATGAAATAGAATCTATTTTATATATGTATATATAATATAATAGAATAGAATAGAATAGAATAGAATAGAAATATATAAGTATATAAAGTATTAAATATCTATTATATAAATATATCTTTATATATCTATACTTCTATATTTATATATTTTATATTTAATAAATGAAATTAAATAAAAATCTACTATATATATATTAAATGTATATATAATATAATATGGAATATAGAATGTAGAATATAAAATAAGAAACAGAAGTTACAAATTAAAATACATAAAATAACATATAGAAAATAGACTATACAAAGTAGAATACCGGGGAAATTTCCCCTTTGGCTTTGTGGGTTTAATTCCCGATTCAGTTCCTGGGTTTAAGGCTGTTTCTAAGGATTCCCAAGCAGTTCTGGGAATGCGGGAGCTCCTGGATTTTGGCTGCTTTAAAATCTGTTCATTGGGCAGGGAGTGCTCATCATTCCAGAGTCCAGTGGGAACGGAGCAGCCTGGATGCAAGGAACCTGTGTGGATCCTGCTTTCCCAGCCAGGGCTCTCTGTGTCCTTCCTGCTCTCCTGAGGAGCAGGAGCAGCTCCTCTCCTTTCCATCTGCTGGCCCAAGGCCACCCATCAGATCCTGGCCACGGGATCAGCTCCTGGGAGCAGCGGGAAGGACAAGCCTGGCTCCTGGGAAGGGCAGGGAGGGTTTTCCTGCATGGAGAGTGAGGGAGAGGGGCTGGAGCTCAGGAGACCAAATAATTCCATGGACAGCTGGAGTTTGGAGGTGTGAGGAGCACCAGGGGTTCTCTGTCTGAGCCTTACAGAGTCTTCTGGCCTAAGAAAAATCAGCGGTTGTTACTATTTTGGATTATTATTTCTCTTCCTTTTATTGGAAGGACAATGCCAAAGCAGAAATCTTTGCACAAGTTTAGGCTCAGAGCACTGACAGTGTACCATGAAATGCTTGAAATCCTTGGAATTACCTCTGGAAAATGGATCTTTGGCAATGTTAGGGAAAAACCCCTTAAGGAATTTGTGCCTGAAGAGCATCATAAACCCCAGTGAAGCTACCTGGATGCAGTTTGGGATTGGAATTGTGCATAATAAAATTCCCATCGACGAGCTGACGGAACGAGCTGTTTGGAGTTTGTGCTGGCAGCTGGGTTTATTTATATAAAATATAAACCAGAAAATAGAATCTATAAATACATAAAATAGAATCTATGAAATAGAATCTATTTTATATATGTATATATAATATAATAGAATAGAATAGAATAGAATAGAAATATATAAGTATATAAAGTATTAAATATCTATTATATAAATATATCTTTATATATCTATACTTCTATATTTATATATTTTATATTTAATAAATGAAATTAAATAAAAATCTACTATATATATATTAAATGTATATATAATATAATATGGAATATAGAATGTAGAATATAAAATAAGAAACAGAAGTTACAAATTAAAATACATAAAATAACATATAGAAAATAGACTATACAAAGTAGAATACCGGGTTGAAGTGTTTCTGCGTGCGGCACACACCCACCCCGCCATTCCCTTTTGGAGCCAGCCTGGCCGATTCCCTGTCACACGCTCCTTGCAGCGAGCAGAGCGGCTCGGAAGCCGCCCGGAAATCCAAGTTTCCCCATTCCCATGGCTGCGCGGCCGCGGATGCCAGCGGATCCATCCCTGCGCTGGAGCCGCGCCAGGAGTTTCTCCTCTCGCTGCCTGTGCGCTGCTCGCTCCCGCTCTGGCTCTTCCCATTTTTCCCCCCCTCCTCTCTTTGAGGTTTTTCTGGTGCCTTTCGAGTGAGCTCAACTCCGAGGCTCGCAGCTTCCCTGTGTGCTGCTGTTCCGCGGGAGGAGCCGCGTTCCTGCCTCCTTTTCCTGGGAAACTTCACCATGCGGCTGGTAAGGGGCTGGATTCCAAAGGAAGGGCTCGGGCAGCTCGGGATGGAGCCGTTCCCCCGGGAATCACCGGGGAGGGATGCGGGGTGCCCAGCGGGACGTGGATGTGACACCGCCGGGGATGCGCAGGCACATTCCCTTCAGGAATCTGGGAGCCGGCGGCACTTTTGCCTCGGGAGAAGGAGGCTGGAGCGATCGCCAGGCGATTCCTGGCGTGCTGTAAGTTTATTGAGGGGATTTAAGGCTCGGGAAGGAGGGAATAATCTCCGGGTGATAACAATTCCAAACAGCGCTTGGGAAAGATGCCCGAGGATTCTCGGGGATTCTCAGGGCTCTGCCGAGCCGTGGCCGAGTGTTGTGGCAGGATTTCCCTGCGTTTCACAGCCTTTTTTCTTTTGGCTGTGCAATTACTGGGGGGGAAAAAGGTGGCTGTGCTTCCCGGGGGGAAGAGCCCGCGGCTCTGAGCCTCGGGATTCCGCTGGGATTCAGCTCCAAGCTCTGGAGGAGCCGGCGGATCGATGCAGGGCTCCTGGAGCCAAGAGTTCAGCAGTTTGTCAACACGGAAAAGCTGCCGGCTCGGGGCTGGATCCCGATGAAGTCATCCCGGGAATGCTGCGGGACCAATCCGGGTCTGGCGCTGGGATAACCCTTCGGTGCCGGGTTGATTGTGGGGTTTTGCCGGAATAGTTGTAGCAGGGCTGGCTGGGTTGGGCATCCAGGATCTTCCCAGCACGTTGGAGCAGAGATTCCATCAGGAATCTCTTCCACAGGGTGGTTCCTTCCATCCCGAACTCCATCGCCTCTGTGCTGGGCACAGCCAGCCCACGAGGCTTTTCCAAACCTCATTCCCAGGGCTTGGACATCCCACGGGGCTTTTCCAAACCTCATTCCAAGGCTATCCACTGGGATGTGACAGATGGGAGTGATATAAACACCAGAGGGTGGAAATGCAGCAGGGAGAGGCACTGGGAGGCAAGGCAGGGAGCTGGGGATGGTTCCTCAGGAATTCCAAGGGCAGGGAGCCAACCCTCAGGTGAGGATCCATCCTGCACATCCCATTTCTCAGGGGAGGAGGCTGAACATCTTGGGATTGATGGATCCTCCACAGCTCCGAGCTCCAGAGTGGGTGGCAGGAAATCAGCAAATATTGAATTCTCATTTCTCCCATGCTGGAATTAATCTGAGCTTCTCTGTTTTCCCAGACAACTTGTCAGACACTGGAAACTCATTTGTTAAATTGCACAGGGAAAAAGAGGCTGCGTTAGGAATATCTCACTTACCTGGAGCTGAATTTATTTGGATTCCCTTTGCTGGTTCAAGTTTTTCAGCTTCTCAAAAGGCTGGAGAAGCTCTAGAGGAGTCTTATAAATAAAATAAACCCATAAGAACTTCTCTGAGCTGTAGGTGCTGGATTTACTTCGTGTTCTCTGTGCAGCACTAACCTCTGGAATTGTGTCCAGTACTTTTGTTCCCTGCTTTCCCTGAATATTCCAAGGCACAGACAGAATTGGAGTCCTTTCCCTGCTTTAAATCTCTTAAAACTCAGATTTTCTGTCGTGAGGTTCCTGCAGGTCCCTGCTGTGATACTTTGGGGGTTCCTGGAATCCCAATAAAACCAGGGAGACTCTTGGTGTGCCCAAGGGCTAAAGCCTGGCTAAAATACAGGGAAGAGATCAAATGCCAGGGAATGTTTGTACTTCCAGCAATTTCCCTGGATGCCAAAGAAAACACAGGAATAAATGACAAACTGGTTGGGGTGAGCTCTCTGAAGGGGAAATTTTCCTGTTTCAGGGGCCTGTGGCTCTCAGTGCCCTGATTGCAGCAGGAAAAACACAGCACAGCCAATATTCCATATTTTCTACAGCTGGAAAACCTGATTGCAGCATCCTGGCTTCAGGGGGCAGGAGGGGTGAGGCTCCTGCAGGTGTTGTCCCAGGTTTCTGTGCTGTCCCCTTGGAACAGGGACTGGGACCTGAATTCCAACTCACTCCTCTACAACAGGCTGGATGAGTAAATACAGGGTGTAAATACAGGGAGTAACTACAGAGAGTAAAATACCCAGAGAAAACATGGAAATGTCTCCTGAAACAAAGATCTCAATCCAGGGTTTAGCTGGAGGTTGGGCAGCTCTGCTCATCCCAGGTTTTGAGCAGGACCTTGCTGTGGGGCCATTCCCCTTTGAAGGGTCCAAAGAGTGGTTTTGGGGCAAAACAGAGCTGGGAAAGTATCCACGAGGAAAAGGAATTCTCAGCTCTCCTCTTTCTCTGAAACCTGCAGATTGAACTGGGGAATCCCTCATCTAAAGGGATGTCAGGGGAGTGGAAACAGGAAAACTGTGGGAAAGTGGGAATTGGAGAACCCGTGTGCCACTGAACTGGGCCAGTGAACCCCCTGGAGGATCCAGGCTGAGAGGAGCTCCCATCCCTTAGGAATGATGATTTCCAGGCAGTTCTGTTGGATTTAGGAATACCTTTGAGGCTTTCCCAGCTTCAATAATTCCATGATTATTATAATTCCTGAAGGAAGCTGGATCTGCTCTCCCAGCTGCAGGAATGCTGCCATTACTTTTGTGTGTAAATCCAATTACATCCTCCAGTGTTTTTTTGCATTTCCCTGCTTCATGTTTAATTTATTTGCCCTCAATTTTTACCAAAATTCAGCATTTTCTGTCAGGTTTCACTGACTCCTGGTGTCACCTGCAACTCTTCCCCCTTGCTGCTCCTCTGCTTTTCCCACATAAATAATAAAAGGGATTTTTTGGAGCTTTGGGAAGCTCTTTTCAAGCTGTGCAATTTGGGCTTATTTAATTCCTGAAGGCTGCACATCCACATCCTGATATCCAGGCAGGGAATTCATTTACATGCCATGGATGGCTCAGCCACCTCTCAACTGCTGGCATTTCGTCCCTGCTTTGGAATATTATTTACATTTATTAAAAAGCAGTTGGAGGATGTTCAACTTGGTGCCTTTTAAAACAATGTGGAGTGGCTGCTTTCAGAAAGACACAGAGAGGGTCCTTTACTCATTAATTTCCTGTTAATCCTTTAAATTCCTTCAATTATCAAGTATTTAGGGTGGTCTTTACGTGCTAATAATTGAATGAGAAGCGTGGAGCATTCCATTCTCCAGGTACCTGAAATTCAGGGTGATTTTAGCTCATCTCCTGTCTTGTTTTCCCTCTCCACAAAACAACCCAAGCTTTCATCCCATCCCTTTCCTTCTCTCCCTGAGGAATCCAACGAGGCCAGCAGTGCCTGAAGGGAATTTTCCATCCAGTGACGTGGTTGTGTGGTCATTGATTGGAATCCTGATGGAAAACGTCCTCTTGCAAAGGGAGAGACTCCAAAGGAATCTGGGAATGCTGGTGGGGTTTAGGCTCAGCCTAAATGGGGGGAGGTGTCTGTGCAAACCACTCTCAGGATTGTTTTAGGCCAGCATTTCAGCAGCTGATTTGTGGCAAAGTCCTCGTCCCAAAGTTCTGCTGGAAACAGGATCTGCCTATACCTAGAAATAAACACCCAAATTGGGTATAATTACAATTAAACCAGTGTTCAAACTGCAATATATCCCAGGCAAAACAAGCCTGAATTGTCCATTTACAAGCACAGTTGCTGATGGAAAATGATCCTTATAATTCAGTGTGGGCACAAAGCACAACTGATTTTTAAAGCGATTGTGACTTTGGGCAAACTCATCTTGCATGGAAAGAGGGAAGAGAGGGAATCTCTCCCTTAGTCCAGGAAACAGCAGCACATGGATGCCACTGGAGCAGGGAATTTCATGGATGTTGTGCAAATGAAAAGCTCCTTTCTCCTCGGGTGTAGGATTTGAAGGAAGGATCCTGAGCGTTGTAATTAAAAAGTGGAGCAGAGGCCTGAGGCTGATGGATGTGATCCTCACTGAGGAGCCTCTGGGGTTTTTCCCTGGCAGAAAGTTGATGGGAATTCACCACCAGGACAGAGCAAACACATCCACACTGGGCTGGGGGAATATTCCAAGGCAAATTTTAATTGAAAATATGGCCTTGAGTGTGTGGAATTTCATGGGCACTCCATGAGGGGATGGAGGTGTTCCCTGCCTGGGGATGAAGTGGCCTCAGCCTTGTGGGGCCTGTCACAACCCCACAAACAATGGAATTAAGAAATTAAGGAATTTAGCATCTGACATTTCTAAACACAAATTCTGACAGTGGAAATGGGGTCAGGGAGCCCAAACTCAGGACTCGGAGTGGCAGAATTAATGCTCCTCTAACGCAGAGAGAAGGCACTTGGTGCAGAAATGAAAATGCATTAATTGAGACATAAGACACACAAATGTTTGGAGACATTGGCTTGCTCGGGGTGCTAACAGACCAAAACAGCACTTTTTGGGTTTATTGCTGTTTTCAGCATCCCAGATGGCTGCAGACTGTGGGGTTTGGGCCCATTGTGTCTGTCCCGTGCCAAATGGACAGAGGGATGTTCAGTCCTGGCCAGCCCCAGAGCCGTGCCCGTGCCAAGGCTGGGAATGGCTCCACTGTGCCACCACACTGATGGGAGCAAGGCAGGCTCTGGGCAATATGTGTGTTTTACTGGGATTATTTTGGGATTCAGGCTTCTGTTGTGGGGCTCTCTGGAAGAGGGATCCGTTTGTGTTCCCTGTTTGCCAGCACATTTCTGCTCCGAGTGCTTCCATCTCTCAGCTGTTCCTGGGTGTATTTTGGGACAGACACTTCTGTTTGGTGTAAACCAGAGCCTCTGGAAGGTGAATAATTCATTTTTGTTGGGAGGGGTTGCATCCCAAGTGACCTCTCACGTTTGGGATCCCAAAGAGGTGATTCCAGCTCTCAGCCCAGCTTCTGGGGACTGGAAAGTCAGGAACGAGATTCACTGACCATGGATTTTTCTCAGCCTTCCTGGAACAGCACCAAAGTTGTGTTTGTCCTTGTGGGAAAATCCAATTTTGTCACCAGGAGCTCTCCTTGACCTTTTCACTCCAGAGCAGCCGCTGAGCTCCTGGAGTTC